TAAAACCTATACTTTTTTATGAGTTTTTTCTCAACTTGTGATCAAGAACAAGTCAATGATCATATTTGATTTAATATATTTTTAAGATGATTAATAATTTAAGTGACATCAATAATTAAAATTGATTAAAGAAAATGAGATTTTAAAATATAATTTATATTATTTTTAATAATTTATGACATGAATTCATATAATAAAACTTAGTAAATACCTATATTTTTTTTCATGAGTTTTTTTAGTTATGTTTTTTAATATTATAAAACATAAAGTTAACCCTATTTACCTATGGTTAGGAACAATTCAAGGATTGAATTTAATTTAATATGTTTTTAAGGTGATTAATGATTTAAGCAACATCAATGATTAAGATTGATCAAGGAAAATGAGAACTTGCAAAAGTTGGATTCGATGAAAAAAATAAAATTGAAAGAAACAAAGAAAACGTAACTTCATTCTTTTCTTTTCTTTTTTCCTTAAAAAGAAAATATTTTCCTCTCTTTATTCGTGCAAGTGGGCACCCTACCAATCATTGCTCATTCATCCCATGGGCCCACTAACACATAATCACCTTCAATTCAATAGAATCAACTGCCCATCACATCTCATTAACTTGTCAAAACAAAACAATTTCCCAATATTATTCATAGTTACATCATTTTATAAATAGTTTAAGAATTTATTTATGTATGTATTAAGCTCTGCATGACTCTTTGTAGTTTTTAAATACATGAATCTCCAAAATGATACGCAAAAATGATGAGGTACATTGAACTCAAATAAAATTATGAAAAATTAAAAAAAAATATTAACAAGTTTCAATATAACACCAAAGTATGCAAGAATTTTTATTGGTATTGCGGTATTAATTATTTTATTTTTCCTTTTCAAATGGTTAGGTGACCTTTCTATTTGAACTCAAACTAATATATTCTAAATAAATACACTAAGAATGCAACTCCTAGCGGTTTTGACGTATAGACTAGTAATGTGTGCAAGATACTTAGGTTTAAATCAAAATATTTGTGCTTGCCATGTACTGAAAATTAACAATATAAAACAAGATCCCCTTTTTTTTCCTATAAATATAAAATAAGATTTTAATATATTAGTAATTCTCTAGAAGAAGAAAAACGTAAGACAAAAATCTTAAATAAAGAACTACGTGCGAATCACAATTTCTTATATATATTATTTATCATGATTGAAACCAATTGCAAATTCATACCATAAGTTATAATATATGCTTTTTGTCAACGTAATAATTTATATATAAAAAAAAAGACTAAAGTTTTCTAGTTATAAATCAACTCTAATCAAGAGTTCCTTGAATCATTTGAAACTCTTACAATGGTGCGAGAGTTAATTTATATGATGCTTATACTTTTATTATTTTTTAATTAAACCATTTACTAGTAAAATTTTGTAAATAATGGAATGCAATTTTATGATTTTTTTTTAAATACACAACAATTAACATTTTAATTAAATATGTATCAAGAATACAAAATACATTACATGAATAATCTAAAATCATGTTATTCCTGTTGGACTTTAAATTCAACAGAGATAAAATTGATTGCAAGATTAATTCAATAGGAAGAACTTATTAAGCATTTGGAAATTAACTGAAGATTACACCAGACGAGTCGAACATTATTTTTAAAATACACGACAACTAGCAATTTGCAAAACAAATTCAGTTGGCTAATGAACCAAGCCTGAGTTTTGATTGGTTTGAAGCTTGTGTTCAGTACTGTAATTATTTTTATAGTTGTGATTTAAAAAAATTATAAAAAATTATAAATTATATTTTTTTTTATTAAGATTTCATGTGTGGATGACATTGTAATCTAACCTGTTTTTCAAATTATTTTTTGTTTGAAAAAATATTAAATTTATTTTTTAAATGTATTTTTTAAAGTTTTGATGTGCTGATATAATTTTTTTAAATAAATTTTAAAAAATATTATTTTAATATATTTTTAATTAAAAAAAATATGCATCATATTACCAAACAAACAACAAATAATTTCTAATAATACCCTTTTAAAAAGATAAACTACATAGTTTTAAATTTATAATTGAGATAAAATACAAATAAAGCCGAAATCCTTAAATGAAAAGCACAGTAGAAGAGATTCTGTGCTGTAACATTGAACATTCGCACATCATATTTGGAAAGCAATTTAACTTTTTAACTAAAACTTGCTCTTGCCTTCTTATGGTGTTAGACGAAGCATGGCATAAAAAGGAGACCCCAGCCATTGTTTTGCAACAACAATTTCTTTACTAACCAAAGTTCTTCTCTTTACCTTGCTGCCTCTGTTGCTCCTGAGGTAAGGTGGACCTCCCCTCCAAGGTACCTTTACAACCCAAGCTTTATATATATATATATATTGAAAGATTTTCTCATGAAAGACTGTTAAGTCTGGGAATAGCTTGATAAAAATTAATACAATATTTTCTTGTTGGTGTTGATTTTTGAATAATTGATAGCATAATAGATTAATTGATGCATGGATTAACTATTAATTTTCCATCTCAATAAATATTCAATAATCCTCTGATTTTCTTACATGCTAGATTATCAATTCCTTTAATGGTGATTGAAATAGCTATATAAGCATTTATTTTTAGGAAGAAAATCCCTGTTAATATTATTGTCAATTAATCTAAAAAAATACTGTTATTATTTAAAAAATGTAATAGATGATCTGGGGCAAAAATCACCCCGTTTATCATCTAAACAAGCAGTCAATAAACTTAAAAGCTTAAATTGTCACCCTTTTTACCATTATTTTAGCTATAATGCTCTTTTTTATTTACATAATTATTAATTTATTTAGTCAAATATTTGTATAAACTTAAAAAAAACATGTTGAAAAAAATCTATATATCTAATTTATTTTAAAAACAAAAAATAATTTGTAGTAAAACACGGGACAAATAATTAATGTTTAAATATGATTTTGTAATTTGAACAAACAGTTAATTAAATCTTGATTCTTATTCAATCTATATTATCAATTTTATGTTTAGTGATTAAAATACCCATCATTCATGAATATATGTTTTTTTGGCAAAAAATCTACATTACTTCTTGTTAAGTATTGTTTATAGTTAATTTTTTGGAAACCAAGCTAGCCCAGACACCCACGTTAATCTAAAAAAAATAATATTATTTATAGTTAATTTTTTGGAAATTGTTATATATAGTTTGACCCGCAATCTGCCAATTAATTGCTGGTTTATAATTTAAATAAACTTAATAAACTTATATATATATAAAACTTAAACCTTCCATTAAGATACTATCTTTTTTTTTAATTATTTGGAAAGTTGTTGTAAATTCAACCATGATTTTGTGATTTGAATAAACAATAGATATACCTTCAACCTTTCTTTCAGTCTAAATTATCAATTTCCTCCTTAGTGATTAATTACCAACCAACATACTCTTTTTTTGGGGGGTTGGGGGGGGGAATTCAACTACCGCCTCTTAATTTTATTGTTAATTATTGTAAGAAATATTAATATTATTTTTATATTTCAAAAGTCGTTATTAATGATCTGGCACGCAATCTACCTCTTAATTATAAATCCATCACTCAAATAAATATTTAATAAACCTAAACTTATATTATTATATTGTTTAATGCTATTATCAATTACTTTATAGCTGAAATTAAATATAACTTTATAGTAATACTAATCTCATATAATATTATTATAGAATAAATTTACCAAAAATACTTATAATTTATAAGTGGAATCCACTTATTTAATAAATGGGATGCATGTCCAATGTTTCGTATTTTTAACTGAGATGCTCGAATATCACTTAAGTTTGGTGACATTCGTGAATGTTTTTTAGAAGCCGTCAAAATATTTATTTTTATATTTAAAATTATATTTAATTTCAGAAAATATTAAAAAAATATTTATTTTTATTTTCATATTATATTTAATTTTTATATTTAAATTTATATTTAAATTTTTATCTTTGTATTTTTTTTATTATTCTAATATGATAATATAAAAAATAAAAAATAACATGAAAAAAACAATCATAATATGTTGTTAAACGGAAAATTTTTTGCACCACAATAATAAACCCACTAAATTAAAAATTAACAATATAATCTTAGCTTCAATTTAATTATTTTCTTTTTAATCCCGAAATTAGTTTTTCTCTTAATTGTTTTATATGTCTATCATGTTATCATTTAAATTTGAATTCAAAGAGTGAAGGCAAAAGAAAAAATTGTGACGAGTGTACCAATCCAAGCATGGATGCTCGATTATTTGTTTTAGTGTTTAAAAAACTGTTTGTAAAAAAAATTAAATTCTTTTATTCTTTTATTTATTTCAAATTAATATATTTTTAATATTTGCAAATTATTTTAATGTATTGATATAAAAAATAATTTTTAAAAAATAAAAAAACTATTAATATATATTTTAACATGTTATTTAAAAAACAATTATAATTATACTCTTAAATAATTATTAAAAAAAACCAAGGAAGTATTTAGATTCAAGTATTTTTCTCCTGTACCTGAAAACATATCCGAGAACACGGTGAGAATTTTTTTTTTATTACTGTTAAACTTTTTATAATTTAAACATCATGAGAATTTATTAATCAATGAAAATTCTTTTAAGAAGTTTAACATTAATACATTAATATATTTAGATCCGAAGTGTTTTTCTCCTGTACCTGAAAACATATCCGAGAACACAGTGAGAATTTATTAATGTTAAACTTCTTAAAAGAATTTGAATTTTTTTCAAATTATTTTTTTAAAGTTTTTTAGACAGTTGTTGAAAAGTAAATTTAAAAGGATAAAAAAATATATTTTTAAATAAAAAGTATTTTAAAAAACAGTAATTGCCGATAGCGAACTCTACCGTAACATCGCAAAAAGATGACGTGATTTTCTGACCATTCACTGGTCATAGATTTTACCACAATCATTAAATATTATTACAGCAACTCTAAGACTCATCGTTTTCTCTCTTGCTTCGTGTCTTGTTTTGTTTTTGTTTGTGTAAGAGCTTATGTCCTGTTCTTCAATCACCAGATAGATTCTCTCTTCATTTCCAAAATTTAACCACAAAAAAAACAGTTAAGAAAAGAAAAATCCAACTTTTTTATTTTAGATCCAACAATGCTAATTTTTCTTTATCAAATTTAGGGTTTTTTTTTCACCATCTTTCTTTCTCTAACCCTTCAATCCAATTCTCCAGCTGGGTTTTCTTGTTTTAGTCTCCTGAATCCGATTTAGCTAAAAAGTTCCAAGTTTTTACACCAGATCAGAGGTTGAACCTGTGTGTGTGATTTTGCTGGTTTTGGTGCGGGGATTTGTGGCCGTTTGATTTGTTGACGTTTTGGGTTTGAATTGATGATCAAAAGAGGATAAGATTGGTTGGTGGAATTTTGATTTGGTTAGCGTTCCATGCTTGCATGTAGAGAATTGAGGAGTTTGGGTGCTCAAAGTTTAATCATTTTTGTTGATTATCATTAAGGGCTTTTGGGGTTTTTAATTTACAGTGTTGGTTTTTTTTTTTTTTTTAGTTGTAGAATTTTGCATGTATAAGCATTAAGGGGTCCTCTGCTAAATTGTAGAGGATCCCTATTCACCGGTGTTGGTTAGTTTTTATAGTTTTTGCTGTGAATTGGGGAGATGAAACAGATAGATATTTGAATTGTGGTTTCTTTTGGAGGGATTATTCTAGAGTTGGCATTTTATTGATTGGTGGTGTGCTAAGTATTGAGTGTACTTATATAAATTATTTTTTGGACGGAAGATGTTTGGTTCTGGTTCCACTACTGGCCATGATAATAGTGGTGTAAGTCCAGTGCGCTTCGTGTGGCCTTATGGAGGTGGAGAAGTGTCTATCTTTGGTACCTTTACCAGGTGAGTTGCTAAATTGATCAGATTTTTTTAATTATCACCAACTATTATTGTATGGTGGTGAATGTATAAATGGGTTTTTAGTTATGTTATTGAATATGCATTCTATTCTAGTAACTTTTAGGATTTTTTGGTTTATGGATTGTATGTCATATGTGTATCTAATTGAGTTGTAATTTGGGGCAGGTGGACTGATCTTATACCCTTGTCTCCGATGGAGGGGTGTCCTAATGTATATCAAGTTGTTGTTAGCTTAGTTCCTGGATTGCATCAGGTTTGTTAAACCAACTCAGCTTGTAAAGCATATTCAACAGCTGTGCATGTGATGATATGGTAATTGTTTTTTTGTTCCATTATATAACTATTTAAGGGAGTTTATGAGGCTTGAAAGGAAAGTAACTCAAATTTATGTTAATCTATAATCAATTTGGTTATGCTATACAAAGATAACCTACGACTTTGTTAGTTATCCATGAGAATTCATTGACCTTTTGCTGTCTTAAGTTGTCAAAATGCAGAGCATAGAAATGAAAGGCAATAGATTCTTTTTAATAGGTAACAAAGGAACATGGTAATGAAAGCTATAATGAAGCTGGTCTTATGCCATTACTAGAAAAGGAGGCCATCTTTGAAGAGCATCATCCCAATGGAACATAAATGATTCAGGATTATGGTGTTTTCAAAATGTTTCCCTTCACAGGGTTAAGCTTCTGGGACGTAATCCATTGCCTTTTCCATTGAGGTCAAGATTACTGTCATAATAGTAAAATGAGTTTGTTTAAGTTTTTATGTTTGTTAACGTATGCATTCTCCATTAGCATGTGGTTTTCAACAGGTTCTATCTGTTGCTTTCTCAGAATGTTTTTAGGTCTGATTTGATTAACATACAACATGTTCAATTTTCTCTCAATTTTAGAAGTCAGTTGAATTAATAATGTTATTGTTTGTCTCTAAGAAATTGAATATGTGGTAGGCCAAGCTATACGATGAACCGTAGGAACTGCTGGTTGCTGTAACACTTGCAGGGTCTTCATTCTTCTTTTTAACATGTTAATGGTCGTAGGGATGGAATAGGATGTTAAAGTGTTCTTGGTCTGGTGTAACTATGTTTGCTATTTTCCTAATTAACATTCTCATCAACACCCGTGTTACGAGATTTTTATTTCTAACATCTCTGCTACCGTCAAAATTGTTGTCATTTTTGCATGCAGTTCAAGTTCTATGTAGATGGACAATGGAGGGTTGATGAGCAGCTATCCTTTGTTAGTGGGCCTTATGGCCTGGTAAATACTGTTGTCTTAACTAGGGATCCTCCCCAAAACATTGATTCCGAGACACCTGGGAGATCCAACATGGAGCTGGATGATGTTTCCGTTTGCCCGGTAAGATATATTTCAGCTTTTACATAAATATTGACTTTCAGACCAGTTGTCAAGCCCTGATACTTTGCTGTATTTCATAGTATGTGTTATTATGTTCCAAGCACTGCTTTGTTTCTCATCCTTGCAGCAATGATTGGGAGAAGCCATTTCTTCTTGTACTTTTCTGCAGTTATTGCTCTTTCTCAATCTAGACCTCTGTTTATGTGCGTCCATGTTGTGTTTTATCTGTACTGTTGCATCTCTTGTTTGTTCTTTGTAGACAAGATTTGATTCAGAAGTGCCTGTGTGCCATATTTTGGTGTTGCCTTGGGGGAATGTGAACGTATCAGTAGGAAGGCCCAAAAGGAGAGAACAGATGAATCATCATAAAGAAAAAAACTACTATTTCCCTTCCTGCCATTTTTTGCCTGAAAGGCTTCTCTAAATTTCGTTTTCTGGGGTTATTACAAGAGAGAAATAAGGTTGGAGCTGGCAATGAGGTAGAAATGCAAAATTAGTAATTGAGAATCCTTTCACCTGTGGAAAACAGCCAAAATGACTAATTTAGAAATGGATATGATATTGAGCTGTTTAAGTTTCTTCAGCTCTTGAAACTATGAAACAGAAAACAGAAAAGGCAAGGAGTCTTGTTGAGATTTTAATTATTTTACATTTGATACATCCAAAGTATTTTTTTCATTGGGGCAGAATTGGTCACTCCGTTGTTTGGTACTTTTCAGGAAGTAATCCAAGGGATGTCAGCAGCAGACTTGGAGGTTTCTCGTCATCGTATTTCTGCATTCTTGTCCACACATACTGCGTATGAGTTGCTTCCAGAGTCAGGCAAGGTTTGAATGCTTTACCTTCTTCAGGAGCTAACTGAATGCTCATTTGCTATGTTTTCATCTGCAACTGAGATGCTCAAATCTTGCTTGTTGTGTCTTCCTTTTCAGATTATTGCCTTGGATGTTACTCTACCTGTGAAGCAAGCCTTTCATATTCTCTATGAACAGGTGAATCTCTACTATGCATGCAAACACGGACAAACATAAGTTGAAAACATTCAGCGAGTTAATGTTCTTGCTAACGAACAAGAAACTAATCCAAAGTGCCTTGGCATTTTGTATAATTTAGTTTCCATGTTTGGAACTATTGGTCCTATGGGCTTTCCTGTCTATTTAAATGTCTCTGCTACATTTATAGTTGTTTATTAGCTCATATTTCTCTTGCTGATTTAAGCTACTTTTAGGGCATCCCTACGGCTCCTCTCTGGGATTTTTGTAAGGGTCAGTTTGTTGGTGTGCTTGCTGCATTGGACTTCATCTTGATTCTGAGGGAGGTGTGTATTTTGGCACTCTTTGCGATGCTAATATGATTTATGATGATTTTAAGGGAAACTGTAATATACTATAAGGAGAAAAACATGCTGTATCTTGATGAAGTACTAGACTGGTAACTTTATTTAATCTGCATTCCTTCTATGGGCTATGGTTATATAAATAGCAAAAGTAAATGCTTAGGACCGAGAAGATAAAATTCACAGCAAAAAACAACAATTAGCAGTCCTGTTTCCTTCTATAGTTACATTATGTGATTTAGTGCTAATTAGATTTGTCATGAGTTTTGGCGAATCAAGTTCTGTACATTGTTTTTTGTCAGCTAGTAGAAAGATAACTATTTTGATTTTGCTGAGGAGAATTAACTGAAGAGATTGAATTTTAAAACTTGGCCCATGACTGCAAAAACTACACAAAAGGTTGAGTCGCTAGCATCACAACCCCACACTTCTAAGTGGCCATAACATAAGCTTAGAAGAAAGTGGTTGCATTTACATGCTTATTAGTTTTCTGATGTCTTCATTTCATTCATGATTACTCAAGTTTGTCTTGTTTTTTCAATTGCATGTTTTCAAGGTATCAGAAAACATGTGCATTCGTGCGGTTGTGCACACGCACCAACACAAGCATTTTAAATTCAAGGCCTTCTCATCATAAGCTTAAAAGAAAGTGGTTACATTTACATGCTTATTGGTTTTCAGATGTCTTCATTTCATGCATTGTTACTCAAGCTTGTCTTGTTTTTTCAATTGCATGTTTTCCAAGGTATCAGAAAACATGAGCATTCATGTGGTTTTGCATGCACACACTCAAGCTTTGTAAATCCACAGACTTGTCATCATAAGCACCATTAATGTACTTGTTTTTTACTTTTGTCGTTGTAAGAAAGTTTCTAGAGTGTATCTAGCTGTTATGGTGTTGTACATGTTTGGCATTTGTCTCTTGGTGGTTTAACATTTATGAAGGTCGCTATTTCAGCTTGGAACTCATGGATCTAATCTGACGGAGGAAGAATTAGAGACACATACTATATCTGCTTGGAAGGAAGGAAAAATGCATCTCAGCAGACAAATTGATGGCAGCGGGAGAGCATATTCTAAACATCTGATCCATGTAATGCTTCTTCTGATGCCATGCTAAGATTCTTTAGCATGCAAAATAATCTCCCAGCTGTTATGTGTCATTTATTTGAGCGTCCTACATGTTGGGTTTTTCATGTTAATTGTATATTTTGCTCTTATATGTGCAGTCTTCTATAAACTCTGGATTCTATGAGTGTCAAATACACTTGGAGAAATGGTTGCAAGAAAAATAATCTTTATATTCAATGTTGATTCATTTAGCACCTTACGTGGTTTGGATATGGTTTGCAAGGGGCATATGGGTTGAAATGCTCTTTTAGATAGCAGAACGCTGCTGGAAGTCACCTGTGTATAAGTTTGTGAATCAGTTGGTGCAAATGAGCAACTTGAGATGTAGAACCTTAGATTTCTCTAGTTTAGGGATTCCTTATTCTGATGTTGCAATCTGCTTTTATCACTAATTATTTATCCACCACTCCTTCAATATGCAGGCAGGGCCATATGACTCGCTGAAAGATGTTGCTTCAAAATTTTTGCAAAACAGCATATCAACAGTTCCCATCCTTCATTCTTCTGCTCAGGATGGTTCATTTCCCCAGCTGCTACATCTTGCTTCCTTGTCTGGAATACTAAAATGTAAGCTTTCTTGGTTTGATGCCTGGTGGTGTATAAATTGTTACTAACATGTGCACCTAATTGTCAGGTATATGCAGGTATTTCAGACATTCTGCTGGCTCCTTACCCATTCTTCAACAGCCAATTTGTTCAATTCCTTTGGGTACATGGGTTCCAAAAATTGGGGAACCAAACAGACGACCATTTGCTATGTTGAAACCAAATGCTTCTCTCGGTGCTGCCCTCTCTTTGTTGGTTCAAGGTAATTCCCATTTCAAAGGAATACTGGTTCTGTTAACTGTTTCTGTTTGTGTATTGCTGATTGATCTTCTTCAACCTCCCCTAACCTTGTGCTACAATACCTACCTGATACAGCCAATGTCAGTTCAATACCAATCGTAAATGATAATGATTCACTGCTGGATGTGTATTCTCGAAGGTAACTTCTGCATCTGTGAGTGCATGTGCATGCATGTTTTGGATCAGTGTTATTGTCGAGTTGCAGGTTAAGCCAACTTTGACTTTAGTATGTTGTTTTCTTGACAGTGATATCACTGCCTTGGCAAAAGATAAAGCCTATGCACAAATTCATCTTGATGAAATAAGCATTCACCAGGTAAGTAGAGCTGATCACTTTGTAACTACCTTATAGAACTCTAGTACCATAGAATTGTATGCACATTCTTGCAAATGGCCTGAACCAATCAACTGCTGCAGCATGCACACAAATCTCCATATTTTAAACAATTAGAACACGCAGTTAATTAAATCAGGAGAAGATACATGACTGTGGAAGTGATAAAATAAATTGCCATTTTGGATAAAAATGCATGACATGAACCTTGCCATATTAATCTGCTTTTTTTATATTTGTGTAGGCACTGCAGTTGGGTCAGGATGCAAATTCTTCATATGGATTCTTCAATGGACAGAGGTGTCAGATGTGTTTACGGACTGATTCTCTACACAAAGTGATGGAGCGATTGGCAAATCCTGGTACTTCCATGTCAATACGATTTTTTTTCATTATCAAAGTTTGAATATAGGTAGTTCTGACATTGTGGTTTGAACTTATGTTTGCTAATTACCTCACTTGCATGATCCCTTCAGGGGTTAGGAGACTTTTGATCGTGGAAGCTGGCAGCAAGCGTGTAGAAGGGATCATCTCACTGAGTGATGTCTTCAAGTTTCTGTTGGGGGTAGGGTAGATGCTGGGGTTGCTGTGGTGACATTGGAGAGGACCGCAGTCATTACTCATTATTTTCTTTCCTAGGATAGAAAATTCAAAGAGCAAAAAAGCATTTGTAAATTGTGAGTCTTCAATTTTCCCCCATATAACCTAATGGTTATAAAGTCAAATCATGCTGCTGGAACTGCCATGTTTAGTGCTAACAGAGAATGGAGTTCAAAGTGCATTAAGTTGCTCATGGCAAGTTGGCAACCCCTGCTGTTGGCAGTCTGTACTTACAAATATGGGTGGTTGATTCATTTTCAGTTTCTGATCTCAGCTTATTAATTCTAGCTTAGTTTTGCACTCATGCTTGGGTTGTCTTGTTCTCTTGTTGGACCATTAAGTTTATGTATTTTGTTTCCAGTTTTGCAAAACTGCATTCAAAATTGCTTCTCCAAATTGATCCAGTTGATATGGTCAGCAAAAATTGCCAGCTTAAAAAGTGAATCCCTAACTCGGCTTGATGGTTTTGGCCCAGGCGAGGTCAGTTGAAAAAATTGCTCTTGTTTCATTAAAATAGTGTTGTTTTGGGTTGATTAGGTTGTTTAAAAATGATTTTTGTTTTATTAAAATAATTAAAAATAATTCTAGTTTTATGAAAATAATATTTTTTAAAGTTCATTTGAGTTAATTTAAAATTAATCCTTTTAACTTATGACTTGGATATAAGTCTTGGTTGGGAGGATTTTGAGTTCTAGTTCCTAGTAGAGTTATAATATTATAATAACCTTAAAATTAAACACCCTATAATTTAAACAAAGTAATAGGCTAATATGATTTAAATTGATGTAAAATAATAAAATTGTTTTTTATTTATATTTATTAGGAAGACTGCTTTTTTTTTTTTTTTGGTTATAGTGTCTTATTTAATCTAACTATATTTTTTTTAATGAAAAAATCAAGTTAAACCAAGCTTTATTACCTCTTCAAGGATCTTCTAGGAAATGAATAAGAATAATGTGAATGGGGAAATAATGTTATGTTTTTTAGTATTTAACTACTAGGAATGTTTGTAACATGTAAGATGTTTGTGTATTGAAATATTAGAATCATGTTTTAACTGTATTAACTAGATTAATCAAAATTAAAAACAAAAAAAAGACAATAAAGGTTTAAGAAAACCCTAAAAGATTGTTGATATTTTCACACAAGAAGATTAAATGTTTGAATAAGTTTTCTAGAAATAACATATTAAATAGGTACAAAGTTAAATTAATCTGGAAACAAAAGAAAAATCCTAAAATAACAAGTAAGAAAAGAGACTTAAAATATCTAGGAAAATAAAAAAAATTCTAAAACATTTTCTATATCTATTTTAAATTGAACATTTTCTCAATCCCAGTCATTATTAGTGAGTTTGACCTTTTAAAAAAATAGAATATGTAAAATGTTTTGGTTAAATTTTAGCCTAATCCAATAATTGGATAAAAAATTATGTATGCATTTGTCAAAAAGCTTGTTTACCGCATTCAAGATTTTTTTTAGATTTGGTCTTGTACACTAAATTCATATACATATTTGCTAGACATTTCATGTAGTTTAACACCATTAATTTTGTATTTAACAGCTCAGCTCTTCTAAAATCTTTTATATCACATGTTTAAAATTAAAAATGTGTTTAAGCCAATAATTCACAATAAATTTCAGTCTAATCCAATGATTAGATAAAAAATTATGTATGTTTTCATAAAAATACTTATTTAACATGTGCAAACTTCTTAAATTTGATTTTATCCTGTTTTTTTTATAAGAATAATTGTATTAAATGAAAGAATACAGAGTATGAGGGGCTTACCCTAAGAAGATTTAACTCATTATCTGCCCAACAGTAGATCATAAGGTCATCAACAAAGCACAGTGAATAATAACATTATGCTAGCACCGCCAATGATAACAAAACCTTGGTTTTTGTGAATCCTCTCTAAGAATACCTTTTAAACCCTCTATAACCAAAAAAAATAAATAAGAGGATAAAAAATTATCTTGTCGAATACCCTTTGAAGATGAGAAGAAACTGTGACTCTATCTATTCATAGCCACATAGAAATGAGTCGTAAATATGCATACCTCAATCTATTTAACCATGATACAGGTACTCCAATAACTTTTAAACCTGTAAGGATAAAATCTCAACTAACCATATGAAAAGCTTTCTTGATGTCAATTTTCAAAACACATCTAGGCATAGAACTAACTAAGTGGTAGCTATGCATTAACTCCTGAGTCAACAAGATATCATCATATATTTGCCCTTTACAGAACAAAAATAGTCTAAACAAGTTTAATAAACTTTGAAAAAATCCTTTTCAGTTTGTTCATAATGACTTTAGATATGCATTTGTACATCACATTACAACATGAGAGGTTTAAAGTCATTTATAGTGGTCGGAGTTTCATCTTTGAAACAAGACAAATTCTAGTAGCATTAACATATCTAGGCAAAATAGAGAAATAAAAGAATACCTCACAACAGTAGTGAAGTCTTCACTAATAATGTTCGAACTTCTCTTAAGAATAAAGAGGTATAACCATTTGGTCCAAGAGTTTTATCATTCGGTATAGAAAATAAAGATCAATTGATCTCATCATCAGGGATGCGTGACTTTAAAAGAGGAATGCTATCATGAGCAATCTTTCTAGAGAAGTATCTAAAGGCATCCTTTATAATGATTGTTGAATGTGCAGAAAGTAATCTCTAGAAATAGTAGATTGCCAATTGACCAAGACTCTATTGATCTTAAACCTTAGATCTTATCTCATTAGTCAATCAATGGATCATGTTCCTCACATATCTATGTAAGAAAGATTTAGTGTTCATGTCTCCCAAGTTTAGCCACCGAATTTGAAACCTATGCTTGTAAAATGCTCTCTGATCCTTACTCAACTGAAAAAACTCATTTGCAAGCTCTCTTTCTGCTTGCTGATACTCATCAGTTTAAAGAGAACCATCAAGTATAGACTATGATGCAGTCTATCTAGTCTTTTTACCTCAATCACATAACTAGTTATATGATTAGTGTATTGGTGGTGCAAGGACTTTAACTTAGACTTTAGCAAACCAAGTCTCTTGGTAATCCTGTACATAGGGTTACCATCCATAGGAAGCTGTCATGTATCTACAACGAAACCCAAGAAGTCATCCTTGTCATCCTATAGATTTGAAAACTTAAAAGATACTTTAACCTTAGATAGAGGATTAACGAATTAAACAATCATATCACCATGATCTGAATAGTCTTTAAGAAGGAATTCAGAACAAGTAATTGGTCAAAATAAATAATCAGTATGTGTTATAAAAAATCCAATAAACCTTCTCAAGAATAGTATTGTTGTCATGCTAACTATTGTGCCAAGTGTATTTCAAACCTGAATAAGGAACTCTAACCAATTTTGCAGCTTGGACACAATTGCTAAAATTATCAAGATGGTTATGCTAAGTGAGATCACCCCTTTATTTATCAAAAGAGCTCATCATAATATTAAAATCTCTAAAAATTAGCCACAGTGTAGATTGAAAGTCAATAACATACAAACTTAAGTAATCTCATAGGTTCTGAAAACTTAAAGGTGAATTGAAACTATAAACAAAGGTGACCACAAATGAGTATTAATTAACCAAACTAGTTACCTCACAAGTTAACTATTAATAAGTTGAACGCAAACAAATAACACTATATATTTTTAGATCCTATCCAACTAGAATATGACAATTAGATGTAACTGAGATATTAAACTGAGATTATATGATTTAATCCAAGTCATTATAATTTTATGTTTTGGTAGGCCATTAAGACCCATAATATTCTAATTTTCTATATTAAACATAGGCATAGGAAAAGAAAATTGCAACAAAGAAAAAATATTAGAGGATTTAAGATATTTTTACACTTTTTTTCTATTTATTCTAGTTTCACAAATAGGAGGATCAGGCTTACTTGTTTCATTTGGCAAAGGAGGTGTCGATATAGAAACTACAAAACCCTTTTTTAGTAAAGTTAACAGGTGTTGGTCCCCTTTCAAAGGCTAGATGTTATGATCCGAGTCAACTTTTGACCCCCTATCATTAGTAATCCTTGCTCTCTCAACATCAACAAGTTCGATTGTTTCTATAGCAGCCTGTAGTTTTAACCGGTTGACCAATTCCTTTAGAGTTTAAATTGGTCAACTGTTTTCAAGGACAGTAGCTCCTGAAATCTCTATTGTGTTCAACCAGTTATTTGATTCACCGGGTAGCTGAACCGATCAGCTGGTTCCACCTGATATGTTTGTCTAAATTACTGATTTTGCCGCAACATTAGCAATCAAAGAAGATGCAGCCCCTTCAGTCATAATAACTAGTAAGCTATAAGCATGAAGTACATCCTTTTTTTTTTTTTAATATGTCTTCCACCAACACGATTAGGGCCTCAACCGATACCTTGCATAAGTGGACAAAAACTTAAAAAATTTCACATGTTGTTGGCTTCTATTCATAATTAACCATGACTATGATGGAATCTATACATAACCTATATTGAAATTAAAAAATATGAAATACATGTAGGGAAGCATCCAATTTCACACAAACTATTGCATGATCAAGCTGAGTGCCACTAAAAGTGTGTTCATCACAAGTCAAAGGTCTTCCTGCCATACTCATGGTGATGCCTAGGCGATCTCATTTTAAAAAGAAAAAGATAATCCTTTAAGGCAAACTCATACCGGCACTTTGGTAATTTTATTCTTGTTAAGAACAAAGTGTGGACGCCACAGTAAAAAAAAAAAAAAGATTTCCCTTCAAAATCCCTGTTCCATAACCAAATTAGCATCATCATCACTTTTAAGACGAAAAATCAAGAAACCTTGTTTTATCTTCATCATACTCTCAAAGCCAGGACGAATATCTGGCATTCTTACTTCAATACGGTATGCAGTTTCCGGGATCAGAACCCTTTCAATAGGCTTGCCTGATGTTCAGCTAAATAACAAGGCTAATTATGTTGGACATTGTCTAGCTATTTCTACCGTGTAAAACCCTACAAGTCCAAAAACAATACTGTTAGCCTTAAATTGTAAAGCTGGCCATGCATAGAACACTTTCTTTCTGCAAGCCCTTAGAGTTAGCCTAAAGAGTTAGCCTACGCCTGTTTAGATTGGAAAAACATTAAAAAATAATACTTCTACAAGCCAAACATTTTGAAACGAGACACTTAACATGTAGACAGCGGGTGCAAAGTGATGCTTGCCCTTGATCAGAGTCGGATGCGTTGTGAAAGTAGATAAAGAAAAGGGGGATAGCTCTCTGAAAAGCAATTCTCTAGAAACCATTTCTTCCCTTTATTCAAATG